ATTTATGCTTTTCCCCTCTTCAGTATCACTTTTAGTAAATGTATTATCTATTTTAGTATTAGAAGTTTCCCCTTCAACAATATAACTTGAACCACCTAACATTTGAATCTCAACATTATCCTTTTCAACTGACTCATCTTTTTCATTCATTGTTTCATTTTGGTGTTTATTCCCAAACACTGAAGGAGACATCTTTTCAAACTTAGTAAAGTAAACTGACCCAATACAATGGCTATAACCATTTTTTTTAATTGGTTCAATAGTCATAAAACGATACTTTTTGTATTTAACAAACTTCAATTGCTCAGGAACAAATGGTAATTGTTTTTTATCTGATTCAAATGTAATTTTATAATTCGTTAGTGGAATTAATGTTTTAATATCATCAATTATTTCCATTAAAAACTTTGATGTTTTATCAAAATCATTATGAAAAAACCCATAAACTATTTCAACTTGAGAACGTGTTAATTGTTTAAAACTATCAACTAATGAATCTATCTTTTCTTTATAGATGTCCATTTGATAGAAATACATTTGGAACTTCATTTTATTTAAGATATTCATCATTTTTCGTTATTTGCTTGTCATTTTCTCAATCTTGTGTAACAGAGATTTGACTTATAATATTTAAAAAAGTTCTGAGAAAGTTAAAGAAAGAAATTAAAAAACACAAATTTAACTTTTAAGTGAAAGTGTTATATAAAAGAAATTAAAATTTTTATCAAAAGCATCTCAAAAGAACTATAAATAATAAATAACATGGCAAATAAAATCAAAATTGGATTATTGGGAGATATGGGAGTTGGTAAGACATGTATTGTTCAAAGGTTTTGTTTCCATAAATATAGAGACTTGTATGAATCAACCATTGGAATTGAGATGTCTGATCAAGAAGTGGTAGTTGATAATCAAAGTTATCCAATACAAATTTGGGACACTGCTGGACAAGAACGATTTAGATCTGTTTCACGTGTTTTCTTTAATGATATAAAAGGGATATTTATTGTGTTCAGTTTAGATAATATGGAGTCATTAAACCATTGTAAAGATTGGTTAGATGATTTCTATAGCCTTGTTGACCAAAGCAAAAATATTCCTGTTGTATTAGTTGGAAATAAATTAGACTTAATTACTGATGAAAATAATGTTCGTGTTCCTGAAGACATCATTAAGAAATTTGTTTCTAATAACGATATTCCATTGTACATTGAAACCTCATCCAAGAAAGATATTAATATTGATTCAGCCTTTCAAGAAATGGTATCTATTATTATCAAAAGAAACCTTCATATAAGTGAAAAAAAGAATGAGATTGTTGAAATAACACAAGAACAAGAAAATAGTCCAAGAAGTAATCAGCAAACAACCAATGACTGTTCTTGTTAAATTTTAATCTTTAATAAATCAATATTACAGTTATCATTTTTTGTTTGTAATAAAGAAAATAAGAAAGAGAGTTAGTTAAGAAGAAAATAAAAT